AAACGTTTGGGAATGTTCCACGTCCACGGTTCAACTTTGGAAATGATCCTGCAGACAATGGACCCCGGACGAGGTGCGTTCCAATAAGTCTTCGTACCAATATGACCATGTTGCGAAAACAAGGTCAAACAACCTCTCTATAACTTCTTGTTGGAAAAAAACTAGTCTGAAATTAAAAGTTATAGTTACTATAGGTTGCTCAAGAAGATGAAGGACGGATGGTTGAATTTCCCTCATCCTCAATCCGAGTGGACTTCAGCTGCTCATCAGTACCGTCAGTAAGAATAGAAACGAAGGGTACCGATGAGACCCAAGTGAACTCGAAACTGCAGTCCAGTCAAGCCTGGATGCAGGTGAAATTCAATGGCGTCATAAGATATACTCATAATATTGTAAGAAAATTCAACTATTATTTCTTCATAATTTCATGTGACTTAGGGTGAATACAACCTAATTAACCCGATATTTGGTTGGCCACTTCATACCTACTCTCCGATTTTATGTTTGATTAATTCTTCTTTATGCTTCGAAGAGTTACATCAACTTAGACATTACTGCATGAGCACAAAATCTCATAACAATCTGATCTGCAGAGAGGATTCGCTGATTCTCCAAAAGAAGTCATGACCTAGGAGTGTTAGTCCTTCTCGGTTATTCGCCCATCTTTTTTAATAGCTGGCAAAACGGCTGTATCAGGAGACTTGAAGAAGAGTTATCCACTTTTATGCTTTGTCCTAAATTGTCGATTTCCTTTACCTTATCTTTTATTATTGCGAAATGATTCACATTTAAAGTGTTCACCTTATAGGCCTTGAGCTTAATTAAGCCACAATGGTACAAAAAGGCTTCATCCTCACCCAGAGTGGACTGCAGCTTCTCATCAGCACCCTCAGCAAGAATCGAAACAGAGGGTGATGCTGAGACCCAGGCGAAGTCGAAACTACACCTTTTGGAAAGTAAGACACTAAGTAAAATTGCCTATTGATGTCATCGTGAAGAAAGTTAATCATCTCATGCGACTTAGAACGCCTGGAACTCTTATTTAAGATTTTCATATGGTCTCGAGAGCCTACTTTCTCCTGAATACTGAACTGCAGAGCCAATTGTCTCGCAGAAACTGACACAGCTCTGTTGGCCTGACTCTAGGAGGAGAACACAAGAAGATTCGGTTTTTTATAGAATCCCCCATAATGCTCCTTAAAGTGCTAAGAAGCAAAATTATTTTCAAATTAAATATTCTTAGAGAGAGAGAGAGATTTTAACTTGGAAAGGAGAGGTGTTTAGAGGAAGTATCCTCGTGTTGATAGAAAACCTCTCCTCCCTCTTCTCACTTATCCTTTTGGGCCAAGTTGACTTGCCAAAAGTCCATTTAAGTCTAGGTCTCTTGATTATGTGCATGCCTCTTTCTCTTTCTCCCTCTTCATCAATGGAGGATCAATGGATTCTGCTGTACATGAGTGAAGTTAGAACCAATGCTAATGATAACGGCTATAATTGTGCATTTGCGTCCTGTATACAATAGGCCTGGAGTGGAATGTGGGCTTACTTGGTGAGAGTAGTGTAAATGATGACGATGACAACGGCTAGAAGGAAGCAGACACCGAGCGTAACGAAGATGATATTTAATATCCGCCTCAGTCGTGGCATCTGCAAGTCGTCTAGACGATGTATGTCTGCATCGTCTTTGACTCGTTTGTCCTCGAGGAATGCGATAACCCTGTCCAATTTGCTGTTTCGCCTCGGTCGCATAAACCGTCGCAGCCTCTTCCTCTCGCACTCCTCGTCTGTATTGGTGTCTTCAGCCAATCCTCGAGACTGTGTCGGCGATCTGAGACCGGCTGCCGCCTCGGACGCCATCAGTCCTGTCGTCGCCATGTCTGCAGAGCCGGTCTGTGTCGACGTGATGGTAGGTGGGGCAATTTGCGGCTTGTAGTCATACTGTGACAGGTCGAGCGCCCCTCCAGGCGCAGAGACCAGCAACTTGTGTGCCTCCGAGAGTGGCCTTCCAGCAATGTGGCCGTCTACAGAAGTCCTCATTCCAC